TCTTCGCTTAGTTAATCGAGAGACATCCGGACCAGAGCACCTGCATTTCACAGTTAGGAACAGTGTTGTCTGCTAGCAATAATATATCATCCGCAAATGGAAGATATGAATGATATGTTGCCCATTCCTCTCGCAGTCGCAGCTTAGCTGTTTTATACTGGTTGTAGTTCACAGTCAAGAAACGTCGGAAACAACAGAGTACTAGACAAAAATCATTGCATGATTGTCACGTGGTCCTCAGTCAGACAGTACCATCATTGGATTGCACGTTGCGCCCTAATATCGTCGTTCAGAACAACAGCACGAAGACGGCAACAATTGTAGACACTTTTCAGAATGTCATTGCCCAGTACACACCAAGTTTCGTTGTCTTTACTACCAATGTTTCGTGTTACGAAAAATGGCTCCCTGATTATGGTTTCTGTATCTTATGACACGCCTAAGGTCATTGCACTAAAAAATGAAGGGGATTGCAGACACTGCTGTCACGTTTGAGAATTGATATGCAACAATTGACCTATCACCGTCCTACAATAATAAGGGTACAATAACACGACTGAAGCAATAATGAATGAGTCACTTGGTGTATGAAATGATAAAAATGATGATGTCTTGCACAGTATACAAATTCAGGTGACAGTTAGGTGTATGAAATCATTAAAAAGATTCTGCATTTGGTACTCTCATTACATCACAGTTTACAGGGTTTCAGAACTGCAAGCACACCAGCCTACAATGAACGATACCAACAGTGCGAAATTTATAAATTGAGTGATGAAAATATCTGGCCCAGCACTGTAACTACCTAATTGCACACGTATATATTTGCGAATGATCAAATTCGTGATTTCTGAACAGAATATTTGAACCCGGTAAACTTTCAGTGAGGAGAAGCTTGACAAGGCAGCAAATAAAAGGCAAGGTCAAACGAATTAAATATCAGTCTTCGGGTGTTAGCTGATACATATCCAAGTCTGCCGAAGCTGTCAGTGTCGTGTTATTACCTCGGCTTCGTTCCTAGAAATTTGCTAGAAAATTTTTTTCCGTGGAGAATGTGTCACGCGTTGCAGCGCTTCTAGCACCGAAAGCATTAACCGTTCGACGGTGTTTCGTTTCGTTTCGTTTCTTTTCGTTTAGGAGCGACGATCGTCATTCGGTGCACCGGATGCCCTAACGATACTCTTTGCTGAGGGTCGTCAGTGAAGGAGC